TAAGCCAAGCCATGGCATTTTCAATTGCTTCATATGTATGTGAAAGCTGGACAATGAATAAGGAAGACCAAAGAAGAGCTGATGCCTTTGAATTGTAGTGTTGGCAAAGAATACTGAAAATATCATGGACTACCAGAACAAATTTGTTCTCGAAGAAGTGCAGCTGGAATGCTCCATAGAAGTGAGAATGGGCAGACCTACCTACTTTGGTCATGTTGTCAGATGGGGCCGGTCCCTGGAGGATATTATGCTTAGTAGAGGGTCAGCGAAAAAGGGGAAGATTCTCAACAAGATGGATTGACACAGTGGCTGCAATGATGGACTGAAGCATAGCAAGCGTTGTGAGGATGGTGCGGCACTGGACAGTGTTTCATTCTGTTGTACAGTTACTATGCATCGGAGCCAACTTGATGGCATCTAGCAACCACCTATCTCTAAGTAGAGTGTACAAACCTGGAAGTATATATATGTAACTTTATAATCAGAAAAAAAGTACATGAACCTGACCACAGAAGGCACTCAAATATTTAATGAAAAAAAGTTAAACAGTAGATAAGATGTCAAGACTCCAGAAACCACTATATGGAATAACCAAAAGCAGCTAATTGCCTTGTCCCCAAGTTCAGTAAGCACTTCTGAGCTTCCCTCAGTGCTTGCAGGGCTGGGTACATCACCAACCATAAAAGGTATATGGTTGTTTACATATGGCACAAAACCCTTCTTAAAACAAATTTGAGAGAGCCGCCTCCCAAAAAAAGTTGGACCCCATCCAGAGGGAAATGCCATCCTCCAAATTGTCTCTGGCTGCTAACCCTTTGTGTGGACTTGGCCCTAGTGCTGATGCACCCCAAGGTAAAGTTTTGTGCTCCAGGGTTGTGTCCCCAAACATCTGTCTTGGAGCTAATAATACAGGGTTGGAAAACCTTAATGCAACCCCTAAGAAAAACAGACAATGAGAGGATTTTCGCTTGTGGCATTTTTTGTGTGTGTGATCTAGGTGAAAGTTTACAGAGCAAATTAATTTTTCATACAGTTCATACATACGGTCTCATGACATTGACTGCAATTTCCCACACCTAACAGCTCTCCTCCCACTTCTTCTCCAGTTACTTCTTTCCTACGTCCTTCCCTCCCACGCACTCCTGCCCTCCGAGGTGTCTCCCTGTGCAAACACTACCCTTCTATTCTCCCGTGATTAATCTCTCCAAAGAGTGTATCTACCTAATGTAAATATTCAGCTCATGCCTGTCTTTTGTTTGGCTGGAAGTCACAGATGTGGGTTCAATTCCAGACCTGAAGGGCAGCTAGGGGCCAAAGTCTCAGGGGTTTCACTAGGCTCTATCAGGCCAGCTATTTCTTTTTATAAATGATTGAGTTTTGTTCCACATTTTCTCCCTCTCTCTACAGGAACTCTTACATAGATCCCCCTCCAAGTGGTTGACAGTGGTAGCCAGGCACCATCTAGCTCTTCTGGTCTCATGGTCATATAGGCGGAAGATCACATGGTGTACCTGTCTCTTGGACTAATTGTTTCCATGTATCTTTGGTTTTCTTTGTTCTGGATGAGGAGAGCCCATCGTTGCATGTAGCTGGCCACTTGCAAGCTTTTAAGATCCTAGTCGCTACTCACCAAAGCAGAATGTGGAAGAATGTTTTTGGGTAATATGGTATTACCAATTGAGCTTGATGTCCCCTGCAACCATGGTCCCAAGCCCACAGGTCCAACTACACTTGCTCCCTCTGTGGCCAAGAAGTCACCACAATCTTGTTGCTTGTCAGCTCTACTATATACCTGGTCATTCTTATGTTGTTGTTATGTGCTGTCGAGTCGGCCCTGACTCATAGTGACCCCTCCTTGGGTTTCTGAGGGAGTATCACTATGGAAGTAGATTGCCCCATCTTCCTTCCCAGGAGTGGCTGGTGGGTTTGAACTGCCAGCCTTCTGGTTAGCAGTCAAGTGCCTTAGGCACTATGCTACCAGAGCTCCCAAAATGTGCTTGTAGATACATTATTTCCCAACCTTATACATGGTCATGGACCTATCTCCCTGCTCAGACATAACTGATTGTTCAGCCCGTCTACCCATCTATCTACCCTAGATCAACGTTTGCCATCACTGACAACACAGTACTGTATGTGCAAAAGGGTTCATCTTTGTTATGTTATTTCCCATTTACCTCTGTCTTTCCTCTTTCTCAATGCCACTATGCATTGATCACTCACATTTTTTCTTGTGTTTTAATGAAACCACATGTTCAATATAGAGAATAGTACTTTATGATTGTCTTTTCTTGATATAAAAAAATCTCCCAACATTTGGCAAAATAACTGGTTGCAAAATCCACTATTCTAGAAGATAAAGAAAAAAGATTGATGGAAGAATGCTTACCTGTACCAATAAACTGATTTCTTCTCAGACATGGGCTTTGATGAACTTAGATACACAATCAAAATTTAATTAAACAAGTATTTCCCATAGGCCTGTGAGTTCAACCCTATTATTTATTGAGTGGTTACTGCGTTAGACCCTGTGCCAGCCACGAAAGTAGTGATAAAAATAACCCAAGATTCCTGCTCTCAGTAGCTGGCCTTCTGGTCAAAGGCTTCAAGAAACTACCAGGGACATCATAGTTTTTCTTTCATTAAACTAGACTTTATTTTCAATAGCAAAATCTCCACTAAAATTATACACTCAAACTAGGAAAAACTAAGCAATGGACCAGTCTCTGAGATCTAAGCTTAAACAAACACTTCCTTCAGGAAAGATGTTGCTGCCATCAAAAAAGGTCAAGTCCACAGCACGTCATCTTAATAGTTTGCTGCATTTCTTCTTGAGGCTCCCATCAAATCAATAATTGCTTAATGCCCATCTTTCCCAGTGGACTGAGTCCTATGGGTCAACTGGCCTAGTATACTATAAAGCCCAGCAAAAAACAGATAGGCTCTCAAAACATTTACAGTATGATCACTTAATAACTTGATGGTGCTTCTGCCAGGCAGCCAATAACCTGGGCCAATTAAGTACCCTGTACAGGACTCTTCAATAATGTGACCCAAAGCTCACACTAGGCTCAACAGGGTGACACAGGGTTAGAAGGAAAATCTGTCCAGTGGGTTCAGGACAATATTGGACCACACATTCCAAAAAGGATTTTGACTCAGTGAAGAGCAGACAGAAAGTAATGCATTAAAGATGACTGCCAATGCACCTGCAGACTATCAATTAGAGCCAGGACTCTTACAGAGTGCATCTGTCTGGGGCTCAATGGCTCAAATGAGACATCTTCTGTAATGCTGCACCAGTTGTACTAAGCCCAGAACCTGAGGCTCTCAATTCCCAAGCCCATGTGCTCCTATTATTTATTTATTCATTCCTTTTGAAGGTTGTCTCTAATGTTATTATAACAGAAATACAAAATGGTGGCTTTAACAAACTTTTATTTTTCACAGTTTAGGCAGCTCTAGGGGAAGGTGGTGTTCTCTATTGGCTCTGGAGGAATATCCTTCTCTCTTACCAGTTTCTGTTTCCTGGTTCCTTAGACATCTCCATGTGTCTTGTCATCTATTTTAACTCCTATCTCTGCTTACCTGCTTGCTTGTTTAATCTCTTTTGTATCTCAAAAGAGACTGACTCAAAACATCCTACACTAATCCTTAGAGATTTCCACGTGTCCTGTTTCATTCACATAAAAAGACAACCCATTCCCATATGGAATTATAATCACAGGCTTAGAAGTTAGGATTTACAAGACATATTTTTTGGGGACACAATTCAACATACAACAGAGGGTGTGGAGATTTATTAAAGGTCAAGAGAAAGAAATTGTATCTGGACACGGCATTATAAACAATTTAATTCACATTTATCATTCCTATTGCTAGAAGCATCTCACTGGTCATGCTGGCATATTCCCACACCTCACTGCCTATCTACTTCTGAAACCCCCCCCCAACCAAATCTTCCTTAAAAAAACAAAAACAAAACAAAAAACGTACAATTCCATCTTCCTTGATCCTGCCTTACGTATCCAGACCATGACCATAGGCCAGGAGTTGGTAAACTGCAATGAAATCTAGCCTGTTGTCTATTAGTTTTTAAATAAAGTTTGATTGGGCAAGACTACAACCACTTGTTTATGTATTGCCTTATGGCTGCTTTTACACTGTAACAGCAGAGTTAAGTAGTTGTGACAGAGATTATCTAGCTCCTAAAGCCTAAAATATTGACCTTCTAGCCTTTACAGAAAAGTTAATACCATTAAGATGCTCTTGGAAACACTCAGTTCTTTTTGTAAGGAACATTTTTCCTGAGACATCTGCAAACCGTAGTTCTTGCTACTATAATATGTTACCTTGAGTAACTATTTTTTTTTTTTGGTGGGAAAAAAAAAAAAGCCTAACAGTTTCACAGGATAAGGTCCTTTTAATTGCCAAGAATTTTAAAAAAATACCCCCTTCTCCCCCAGAAAAACACCTCATTTTTGATGCAAACTGTGAAATGGTATGAATGATGATCGCTGACAAATGGAGAGAGGGCAAACATCTATTTCAAGAGTTTTAGCTATGGAGAGAAGAGGAGCTGGGGCAGCTAGAAGGAAAGGGTAATACCTACTATGCAGACTTGTCCTGGTGATCACAATGTGTACAGCAAGCACTTAGGAAAAGTTGTCTCACTGCCCCGATAACGGGATGTTAGAAGAGGACTTTGAAAGGTCTAATGAGTAGTACCTAACATATGTAAACACATTCAACCCAGCAGTTATCAAAGAAATAAAAACCACCAACAGAGAAATGCTATTTTCACTGATAAGATTAGGAAAATAGTTAATCTTACTGTACTCATCACACAAGCTAGAGTTCAAAGGTTACCACAACCCAACCATTCAATGAACGTCAACATAACCTCAAACAAGCCCATGTCAAGGGTGCTCCCTCTCTTCTTTCTCCCACCATCAGTGCTACCTCTCATCCATCTTTGGGAGAAAAAGTTAACAAAAAAATAATCACATTGAAAAAAAGTTTATTTAAAAAAGTTCTAGCAGCAAGAACAGTAACAAAACAAAAGGAGATGGACAAACAAAACAAGGAGGTTGTGTCCTGTGGGACTTGTCTCCATTCTTTAATCGAGTTCTTTATACCGAGCAAACATGACTCTTCGCACAGCATCTCGGTAAGTCTCATTGGACTGTCTCTTGCTAGTTCTTCCTGGGGTCCCCACACTGGGCCCCCTTGTCCGGCCTTCAGTCTGAAAAAACAAACAGTGAAGTGGGCTCTATGGATTAATTAGCTTCAGGATTGGTCTTTGGCCACAAACATTTCTGGACCAATCAAAACTAGGACATAGGAAAATTTTTTGGAATTAAACATATATTCAAGATGAGTCAGGGGGATAGTGACACCATGGTTGCAGGATATAGGTTTCAGTACCAGACATATGACAAAGTCTGCAGGAAAGAGAGAAACCAATCTTCCCCTTATCACCTTTTCTAGAGGTTCTTGAAATGTGAGAGGCCAAGACTTTCATGGAAGCACAGACTAACTTTATACCCAAATTTTAGCCGTCAAAGATCTCTGCTCATACCCTCTCAGAGATGCCTTTGTACCCTTTGTTGCTGGTTCTGTGGTCCTTTCTACCAAACGATTCTTTAATCTCACTCTGCCTGAACCCCACACTGCCCAGTGCTAACTCTGTAAGACTATGGTGAGTTGCATTCCAACTTTTTCTGCCCCTTGACACTGCCAATCAAACTGCACAGGGCCTGATATGCTTAGCTATAACCCAGTAATGAAGACAGAAAGCAGGCTCTTGAGCTCTCATGTCCTATTCCAGCAGTACAGAAAGCCCAATTAGAAGGCAGGAACACTGCTCTAGGCCACAGAATGAGAGAAGTTAAAAATATACTCAAAGTTCACGCCACCCCCAACAAGATGGAAACCATTTCACCTCCTCTGTTGAAGCCAAGCCAGGCTGACCATATCCCAAGCCTGTACCCTTCTTCCAGCCAGTGGCTTGCTGGATACAGCTTCCTTTGCTGCTATTGTCGATAACTTCTTTACCCACAGGTTTACGATCACTGCAAAAGAAGCAGACATACTCAGATATCATCACTTTCAAAGTGACTTGCTTGTGAACCTAATAAAAACCTCTGTCCTGGTTCAGATTTGCTTTCTATAAGATATTAAAGAACACCTCTGGGTGCTTGCTAACTATGCACCAGGTTTGTCCTGAAGATACAGAGATGACCAAGACTTGGTCCTGTTTGTGGAAAGGACATGTCATGAATGCTTATAGCACACTGAAGAGCTCAGCCATGGGTATGGGAACAGTAGATGTCTATTATGAGAATACACCAGATGGAACACAAACTCTGAAGGGCATCACCAAAGATGAAGGAATTTCAAGAGGAGGGTACATCTGAATTGGGTCTTGAAAAATGAAGAGTTAGTGAGCAGGAAAAAAGAGTGGGAGGAAAGGGAAATATAGGCAAGGAGGAATTAAAGAACAAAGTTTGACAATCAACCATAGCAGATCGTAAGGGCAGCATTTTCACAGGGAGATAGCTCAGAGGACAGGAATGCATAGGAAAGAAGGACACAGGAAAAAGGTAATCACAGGAAAGAAGTGTTACATTGTGGGGATTATAATCAATGCCATGAAACAAAATGTGTATGAACTGTTGTATATAAAATGAATTTGCTCTATAAACTTTCACTCTAATCACAACTGGGGGAGGGGTAAGAAAAAAGTTTACCCAGGAAAGGAGTGGCAGGAATTAACAAAGGTAAGTATGCTTGGAGCCAGACTGAAAAACCTTGAATACCCAAGGCATATCATGATTTTTGACTTCATCTTTCAGGCAAAGAACTCTGGAACCCAGCATTCCCTTTAGGGCAGGTATACATTCATGAGAGGTAAGTGACAGATTTCTGCTTACAAAGATTTTTGGTGGTAGATTAGAGAATGAACTAAAAAACGGAGGAAGCAAAGACTGTAAGTAAAAGGCCCAGTTTGGAGGTGAGCTAGAATGGGGAGCAAAGAGCCTAATTAGTGGAGATAGGAGGAGGAGAAAGGAGGAGGATTGGGTTAGACCAGATACACCGTAATGCTGTAATGTTACTAATCTGGACACAAGAGGTTTAAGCAAGTCTGGACTCCCAAGAGGAGATTCCCAGGAGGCAAATGGAAACACAGATTCGAAGCTCAGGAAACATATACCTGGCTTGGGATGGGGATGGTACCATAGGATTTGTTAGCCTGTTGGTGATGCATCTTAATAGCCCAGACCAGAGGGTCCGGCACCAAGAATAAAGGAGCACTGAGGGTAGAGTCTTAGAGAACACCTGGACTCATCCAGAAAACAAAGAGCAGCAGGAAACATGACTCAGGAGGGGGAGAGCCAGAAGTAGTATTCGTGAAGGGTGCTGAGAACAGAGAAGGGTCTTTTTCTGCACCCAGAGTAAATCTTGTCCCAGCTGGCTCAGGGCTAAGGTAGCTTTCCTCCTCCTGTCTAGGGCTGACTTCTTCACCTTTATTGTATTCCAGTGTATGTCAAATTACAATGACCCAGTGGGATGTTATATTGATTTGGTAGTCCTATTCTAGCACTTAAAAATGAAAACAGAATAGTCTGGAAGTAACAGAGTTCACTGTATATGGCAAGGAAATACTATTCCATGAGCACTTTTTCACACACACACACACACCCCCTTTGATTAGTGGGCCATGAAACAAAATATATCTTATTGTGAGCTGTGGTCATATAAGTTGAAGTGCCAGAATTCCAGACCCTGTCCAGCCTCTTGGTGGCCTTGTTCTCGCTATCATTCCGCCTTCCCCATATGTACAAACTCCTCTAGTTACTGGTTCCTTTGCTCATAAACCTGCTCAAGACCTCTCACTGTAAATTACCACACCTCCTCCTCCCGCTCAGGTACTCTCTTGTCATCCATTTCTCCCTTTCCTTTCAAGGCCTTTATTGGCTGTTATCATCTTCCCGGTCATCCAATAGAAACCTGAGTATCATCAGTTAACTTCTCCCTCTCCTCAGACAAACTACCTGATCACCAAGACTAGTGGATTTGGTACCTTTCTCTAAACCACTTCCTCATACTCACAGCCTTTCCTCAGGCAATTATGACCTCTCTCTTGAATGAATCACAAACTACTGCCTTATTAGTTTTCGCTACAAATTTGTTATCCACAAGGTTACCAGTCTGTTAAAAATGCATAGCTATGATCACTACCCTGTTTAAAAATCATCCATGACCTATCACTGCCTTTAAGATTGTCTTAGCACGGCATGCAAGGTGACAGCATATCGTTCAAGGAGTATGAACTTCAGAAACTGGCTCTGTCTGTTGGCCAGGCCTCACCTCCTAATGCAACAACACACCCAGAACTTTAAGCCCAAGCGATTTGCAACTCCTCAAATGTGTCATGAGCTCTCTCTTTCATCCATGATGTATACATAGTTTCTGCTAACCAAAACATCCTTTCCCTTCCCCACTGGATTTCTAAGCCTTTCCTATTCTATGTTCAAAGATGACCTATATGTCATTTATCTAAGTATTCCTTGCACTTAGTGCAGTGCCTACATATATATAGTGGGTTAGCAACAGATTCTACCTAACTCTGCGCTCACCATTTAGGAACTAACTGACTGGAAATAAGCATAGGAGGCTTGAGATCACACATCTGTATCAGCACCACCTACTGATTCAGTATCCTTGTGTGGGAATGGAGGTTCATTAGAGAAAAATTCCAAGAGTGTTACATTCTTAAAAGCTCTATAGGAGGGTACAGCGTTACTGATGAGGAGAAAAAAGATTCCCGACATGGCCACTACTCCAGCCCTGGCTTTTAGAAGGTGAACTAGCCACCCAATCCTCTATGCAAACATATATAGTCCCTGTAAAAATAGGTAGTCAAAAGACTGGGTTAGCTCACAAAAACAATGTTCTACATTCTACTTTGGTGAGTAGCAATTAGGGTCTTAAAAGTTTGTGAGTGGCCATCTAAGATGCAACTATTGGTCTTTCCCTGTCTGGAGCAGGGTGAAGAAAATCAAAGGACTAATTAACCATGTGAACCACAGCCTCCACTAGCCTGAGACCAGAAGAAATAGATGATATCCAGCTACCACTACCAATTGCTCTGATTGGGGATCACATAGTGGGAGAAAAATGTACGGCAAAATTAAACATCATAAAACAGGACAGATTTGCTGGTCTGATAGAGATTGGTATAATCCCTGAGACTATGGCCCGTAGACATCCTTCAAACCTAGAAGTGAACCTATGCCTGGAGATCAATCATCTTTTAGCCAATCAACCATACGAGACCAAAAGAGCAGTACTCAACCAAAAACAAAGTTCAGAAGGCAGGAAGGTGCAGGAAAGGAGGACGAATGGAAGTGGGGAACCAGGGAGGAAGTGAGAAGAATGCTGTTATATTGAGGGGATGGTAACTGTCATAAAACAAAAAAAGTGCATCAACTGTTGAATGGAAAACTAATTTGCTCTGTAAACCTTCACCCAAACCACAATTTAAAAAAATGAAAAAAGGCTAGGGTGGATCTCATGCTCAATGAGCTCAGACAGAACCTACTTTTGGTAACCTCATTTCCCCAAGGGAGAAAGGAGTAGCACAGCTAGAGGAGGAGGTGATTTCACCATTGGCTTCAAGACTTAGGCTGAGTGAAGAGTTCCTGGCTTACCTGTCAGTGTCCCTGGCGTATTTAATCCGTTTCCGTTCTGGAGAATCAAAAGATTGGAGCTTTTCCCTGCGATCATTTCCTCTTTCTTTAAACTTGCCCTGTTGGTTAAGCACAAGAGCAGACCTGAGCTTCCCACTGGCAAAGGGTGGTGGTGGGGAAGCTTGATCTCATTCCCGTTATTTCTTAAAAGAATGTTCAGGTGGCATACCTCCTGGGATCTTTTGCCCCTTCACACACAGTTCTTAAGAAGCAGTGACTTTTCTGACAAACTGGGAAGAATAAGCTGGCATGCTTGGCTCAGCTGTCCTTTCTTCCTCTGAGGGGCAGGTGCTCTCCAATAGGCCTCCACAGGCAGATTCTTCACTATCACAGAAGACCTGCCCCAGGCTGTGACCAGGTAGGTACATCTAACTACTTGGTCTAGGCAGTAAGTTTATTTGGCTGTCACACTAAGCTACTTCCTCTAACTTAGTTGTTAACAGTAAAACATGCTGTTTTAGTGGCCTTTTCCAATACCCTCCCCATGCCATTCCAAAATTTTTTCAATTGGTTCAAAAGCTGAGAAAGAGGAATGCTATTTATTGGGCTTACCCGGAGAATCCAACATGTTTTTTTTTTAAATATCATCTTTATTGAGGTATAATTTAGAACAACAAAATGCAACCATTTTAATGTAGTGTTTGATGAGTTTTGAGAAATGTATATACCACTTTTGGACCTCTCTATTCTGTCTTCTTGTAATGAAGGGTCAGCATAGCCTACCAAATCTACTACCATAAAGCAAAAGGAATAAGAGGTTACCAAAGTTTACCTCCCGTTCTCTCCTCTCCAGATAGGCTAGCTCCTGTTCAGACTGTTTAATCTTCCGGTGTATTTCCAGGTTTTGCTGAGAAGAGAGGAGGTTCCATGAGTACAGATTTGGGGAAAAAGTTGACTATGGGCTTTTCCTGGTGGCTGCTTTAGGTACACAGTTCCTTTCATTGACCAACCCTCCTAAATAATCTCTGCATTCTGCAAACAACAATTCCTAACCATTGGTCTTGCTTTAGGTTCACTAATGGGAGCCCAGGTTCTAATGCTGGCTTGTCACACAGATTAGGTGTCCAGAGCAACTACTGTACAGAGAGGTTGATTCTCTGCACTGCATCACTACAAGGAAATGACAGGTGCTACAGTCCACTTCCCACTGTCCTAGGGCTAGTTCAGTCTATACATTCAGCAGATCTCTGGCTCCTATTTCCTGATAACTAACTATCATTTATCTCTTTAGTTATTTATTAGCATTTTCACCAAAGTTGAAATTCAAATGTGTTAGTCTGATGACTCAAAATCACAGATGGTCAGAGGGACATGGCAGCTAGTCTGTTCCATGGGTTATCAGGAAGCGCGTCTTAGAGTCCTAGAAGCTTTGCAGAGCCTCCTCAGAGGCAGGTGGGAGAAGAGATATGCATACTACCAAAAGCAGAGCTTCTCAGCTTTCAGCTACATAAGACTTCGGGTTGTGTTGAGTGAAGTCTAACCCCAACCTTTTCACCTGGTCTTACAATATTTCCAAAAGAATGAGAGTGAAATAAATTATACTGAGAACATGGGTCCATCTAGGGGCTTCTCCTGTCCACAATTTGGCTCCTTGGTTAGTATATAGAAATGGGAAGACTGCAAGGGAGAACCACTGCATATTAATCTGACACCCCAAGAACAGCTGTTGTGCCATGGCTTATACCAGTAACTCACTACATGAACAGATGGCAGAATTTGACCCACCTTTGGGGAAAACCAAGGAGCTCTGGTGGTGCAGTTTAAGGAATTCAGCTACTAACCAAAAAGCTAGTGGTTCAAACCCATCAGCCAATGAGCAGGAGAAAGATGAGGCAGTCTGTTTTTGCAAAGACTGACAGCCTTGGAAAAACCTATGGGGTAGTTCTACTCTATCCTATAGGGTTGCTATGAGTTGGAATTGATTTGGTTTTGGGTTAGGAAAAACTGCATACTATCAGAGCTGGATGAAATCATGTGAAACACTAAGTACCAAAGAGAAAGGGCTTATCTGAGGTCAAATCGTTAGGTTAATGGCAGAGCTAAGGTAGCAAATGCAGGAGCTTCCTACTCCACTACTCCTTCTCCCCTGCATTCAGCACATCCTCCGCATTTGGTGTTCCAGCCACAGCTGCGCTGTCTGCTTGGGTTACACAGTGAAGCTCTCTTTAAGGCAGGCATAGCCACGAAAGTAGAGCAACTCATGAACAAAAAGTGGAGGAGCAAGTCATTCCTGAATTCAGTGATTTAATTCTGGCACTGGGGATGATGTAGGCTGAGAAAGATTTTTACTTCCTGCAATCCTCATAAAAAATAAGTTTCAAAGTTTGAAAGGTCAGGGCCCCTTCCCCTTAATACCTTGTGCAGGTCTGAGAGCTGCTGGTGTTTGATGAGAACTTCCTTATTGGGAAACTGCCTTCTGCAGAGCAGACAAGCTAGTTTATTCCAGTCAGTGAGTTTGTCTTCTTCGCTCTCCTTTTTGGTCAGCTCCTCCCGGGCTGTGCGAGGCTGTGGGGGAGGGGTCTGCTCCTCCTCCTCCTCCTCCTCATAGTCACTGTCTCCTCCATATTCACCCAGGAGACCAATTAGTGGGTTTACCACCTTAGGCTGGAAGGAGGAGGCCAGGGATTAACAACAAACTCAACCTGTATTTTGGGGCCTGTTTTTTGGATATTCTGATACTGGGTATCTAACTGCTTTCTGTTAGCTGAAATAATGAGAACTGGGTTCAAAATGGGCCCAATGGTAGATCACACTGCTCACTTGTTGGATGGAAGCAATACAGCTGGAGTCTGACTTCATTCCCTGGCCCACTGAGATAAGCCAGACAGGTTCCCTTAGAAGTGACTCTAGCAACAGAATGGTGAGGAGAAGGAAGAGAAAAAAAAACTGGCATAGAAAACAGGAAAAGAGCTAAAAAGTTACAAGTTACGAAGAGGAAGAGATGACAAACACTTCCAAGTCACTATGATCTACAGAGGAAAGGAGATAGCTATATCATAATATGGTTATTGAGGATGTGAAATTATACTGGATTTCATCAAGGCCTCAAAACTTCTGTAGCAAATGGGATTTAGGATGGGGACTAAAAGCAACTGAAAGATAAGCACTCAGGAAGATAGACCCAGTTCCTGAGTAAGGTAAAGTCAAAGGCAGGGTTAGGATAGATGTACAATGAGCTGAATTACTCATGTGGAGTATGTAGAGTATTCATCAGTAGCTTACAGGAATTATTAACACATGGTCACTGGTCTACCACCAATCAAATTGAGAAAAAATTAAGCATGGTCACTATTGTTATGTATTTGTATTCAATTAGAATCATCTGTGATTAGATTGAGACAATCATTTCAAGGCATGTGAAAAGTGGGAGCCAATGTTCACTCTGGGCAGGAAGGCAAACAATAAAATTTAAAATGACCATTCATGCACTCCACATCTAAAGGATTCTTATGCAGCACCAAAAGACAGGAAACATCAGGAACAGGAAAACTGGTTTCCCTGCCGTTTAGAGAAGAGTTAACAGGATCGAGATTATATTAATAAGGGCCAAGCATTCCCTGGTCTGGTGGGAATGACGCAGGTAAGAGAAAGAGGACAGGGAACTTCCTCTAGATTCTCCAGCAATATTCCAGGAAAGTTGACCTCATGCTTATACTCAAGAAGAGTGAGAAGTCAACCTTTGAGCTTCCTTTCCCACCAGAAACCAGCCCCAGCCCCAGCCCAGGCCATGAGGGGAAGACTTACTGGAGGGGGACTCTCTTCCTTTTTCACAGTGGGAGGCAGGGGCTTCTTAAAGACATCTTCTGGAGGCGGCTTCTCCTCACTGGCATTTTCCTGAAACTGATCAAAGCCAGAGGTAATTCTTCTATGATATTCATAAAAAATTGGGTTAAGAGTTAATCCTTTTGAAATGAGCCGATTTTCCAAATCTTACAGTTTATAAAGTATCTATTATGTTGCTATAGTGATTTCAAAATAAAGAACTTTATAAAAAAATTAACATTTATTAAATATTGAAGGAGGAGCTCTGGTAGCATAGTGGATAAGGCACTTGACTGCTAACCAGAAGGCTGGTGGTTCAAACCCACCAGCCACTCCTCGGAAGGAAGATGGGACAATCTACTTCCATAGTGACACTGCCTCGGAAACCCAAGGAGGGGTCGCTATGAGTTGGGTCCAACTCGACAGCACCTAACAACAATAACAACAACAACAACATATATTGAAGGAGGCCTGGTGGTACAGTGGTTATAAGTGTTTGGCTGTTATCCAAAAGGTCGATGGTTTGAACCTACCAGCCACTCCATGGGAGAAAGATGGAGCAGTCTGCTTCCATAAAGATTTATAGTCTTAGAAACCCTATGAGGCAGTTCTACTCTGTCCTATACAGTCGCTATGAATTAGAATTGACTTGATGGCAGTGTTTTTTTTTTTTCCCCAAATATTGAGTGATTACCATATATCATCAGATGAGGCATTTATATGCATTATCTTCTTTAGCCTTTACCATATAGCCTTTCCAGATAAACATTAATATCTTCATTTTACAAATGATTAGGAATAGGGTTAGAAAGATTAAGTGGTAGAACCAGAACCCACATATTAAGCCAATATGACTCTAAAACCTAAATTAAGAGAGACACACACATACACACACATATTTATACTCTATATTTTGTATACATATATGTACTTTCTGTGTGTCTCTCTCTAAATATATATAAACAACTAGCAGTATTAGAAGGTGGGGAAAAAAGGTAAGTTATAAATTGAATCACAAGAAAATTTATCCATTTTCACTAATGCATAACTGGTATTAGGATAAATCAATATAATCCTTTGGGAAATAATTTGATTTTATATCAGGAGATGTAAAAATGTGCATCATCTTTGAGCCTTAATATAAAGAAGTCATTTTAAAGGAAAAACATAAATAAAATGCTAAGTGCTGCATTATGACAGTGTAAGATTAGAAACTAGAGATAAGGCAGGAATAATGAAGAAAATGAGAGCACAAGTTTTACTGTGGATTTTTACAATACAAACATTAAAAATACTTAAACACAATATAAACAAAAAATATGAAATGGGGGTCCCTGCTATAACTATACCAATGGAAATGTGTCCACACAGTTAAGCACTGAATAAAGCAGATATGGAGAGGTGAAAATGCGTGGTGCTGGGATCTGAGCTGAGTCACTGTTTCACTTTTCATTAAATCACAGTACTGTTTCAGCAGCCTTTTGCCTCAAACCTGGATCTCCTCTGTACATGACCCCTCATTTTGATCTGTGATTAACTGCTATAAAGACAGCAGAGACTCATAGGTCCTCGTACCTTTGTCACACCTCTGTCTTTTTTCTCCTTGCCATCTCTTTTAGATGCTTCCTTCTTGCCACCTGACTTTCCTTGGCTGGTAGGTTTCTTTTCCTTGATTTCTTCTTCCTCAGGTGACCCAGGGTCCTGGGGCACGTAGACTTCTTGCTGTGATACACATAGAAATAGGTAAAGTCTACAAAATGTTTCACATGTCCAGCTAATTTCAAGCCTAAGAAACACAGTTACCTTATGAGGGAAAGAATAGCTGTCTGACTCACAAGCCTAGAGTCTATGCCAGAAAATCTGAAAACTCACTTCAGGAGCCCAGGACACATTCAGACCACCCAGTGTTCACTTTTCCAAGAGCAGCATCATTCTTACCTGTAATGCCACAAGGCATCGATTTTCCATATAGGCTACAGTTAACAAAAGGGCATCATCTTTAAAATCCACCTGAATAAATAAAACTCAATACAAGAGCTAGCCTTTTAAAAAACACCAGACTAAACATGAGGTATGCATAGAGAAACAGAACAACTACCTGGAATGGAGAAATATTCAGTTTCCATAGAATAAAACTTTTCCACTTTTGATGCATCCAGAGAACCCAGGAACAGAAAATTCTCAAAGTAACAAATTATGGATCTTTTCTCAAAAGAATCACTGACAAGGTAAACAAAGCCTAAAACTCACCTGAGTGTTGGGGTCATAGTAAGTTCCTGCCAAGGGGTCATAATAGTAGCCGGTAGCAGAATCATATATGTAGCAGTCAGATGATGCTAGAGGAAATGAAATCAGAGGCGTATTAGTCCCTGTCCAAAAGTTCTTACTGGGGGCTTACCAGAAGCAACCCAAAAACGAGGCTGGCCAACGAAATGGCCAAAGTACCCGCAGATGGTGCACTCTCTGGATGAGCATCCTCAGTCAATGGCGTTTCTTGCCAACTTTGTGACCAGACAGACTTCAAGTAATGAATAGCAAGTCAAGCCAAAAAGAATAATAGAAATAAAAAAAAGATGACTTACACTGCTGTCCTTGTCGATTTGTATCTGAAGACCAGTCTGAATTTCTGCCACTTCCCCTCCTATCTCGAAAATATTTTTTACCCTATCACAGAAAGGCAAGTGAAAATTATAGAACTTCAAAAGCCAACTAGCCAAAAAAAAAAAAAAAAAAAAAGTCAACTATCTAAAAGCCATTAACCTTAACAATTACCCACTAGAGAGAATTCAAGATCACTCCTTCAGTAACTTGAGGATTTTAACAGAGCACTCCTCAGCTGTTAAAGCTTACCTGATAGTAGTGCATATGTTCAGAATGGTCCCCAGAATCATTTCTGTAACAAACAACACAACATGTCATGAGCCTACTACCAAAAAGCACTTAAGGAGTGAAGAAAATTACCCAAACTCTACAGATTGACTGAGAAACTCTCTTTTCCCCATTTTGAAGGAAAGGAACCAATGCAGGTATCAAGTAAATCCAATGGCCCAGAGACTCCTGAGAAGAAGCAGTAGAATTTTTACCAAACTGTGAGCCAGAGCCATAAGCAATCGAGCAGAGGGTGACAGAGCAAGATCTGCCCTAACCCTGTAAGCTACTTGGCCTTTCTGATGTGACTGCTTCCAGTTACCAGTCCTGGGATGAGGAGTGAGGAGTAAAGAGGAATTCAATTTCCCAGTGCTGTGGGGTATGAACAAGGTCAGGGCAGTGGGAGTTCCGGATAGCATTTTCTCAGGATTCCAAGGGGTAAGGATGCATCAAGAATTTTCTGTACAGCCAAGACTGTACCATCATTTGGGTTCCAAAGATACTGGGCAGTCAAGAAGATTAAGGACTAAAGCATCTACTACTACTATTTAAGAAACAAAACAAAGAAAATGCATAATCACATATCTGAAGAACCTCATAATGAGAGTTATCACGTCTTACCATTGCTGTCTCTCCAGCCAGGAATGGGAGTTTTCTCACAAAAACTCAAGTAGGGGCAACATAAGGGAGCCTCACCCCTCTGCCTTACCTTCGTTTTCCAGTGGCCAGGTTTACAGCTACCATCTTCCCATCAATGCTAAAGGGTGGATCAAGATTCTGCAAAATCTTCACTACACGCAGAGCCTCCTGGGGAATCAAAGACACACTTGAACCCAAAGAGAGAAAAAGCCATGTTCTTTGAGAGAACTGAGTATGGGTTTTTCTTCAGAGAAGAGAAATTAATTAAACATTATGTTCTAGTCACAATTTTAATAGTAAGAGCACACTGGAAAAACAGGCAACTCTTAATAAAGGACTGATGAGAGAGTAGACAGATGCCGAGTTTATGGTACAAATTTGAGAAATTCATATCCTCTTCTCTTAGACTATAACTGTCACATATCAGATCGGGTTTACAAAGCTCCTTGTGATTTTTGAGCTAGAAATCTGAGAAATACCATTGATTTTCAGTACTATCTTCATTTTCACAGAGAAGGGTCCCACAGCTAAAAATTCAAGTCATGAGAATCTATTAAAAGTGATACTTTATACACAAAAAGAGGAAATGTTCTGTTATTGTCAAATATGAAACTGTCTGTGGCTGGACAAAACAACCTTAAAAATTTAGAAAATTCACTAAAATCTTACAGGGTTCAGCACTCATATTTTACAAGACTGCTTCCAGTTACCAGTGCTTGAACTGGACTAAGTTTACGTTTTAAACAGAAGTTATAAATGACACAGGACAAAAATTATACTGGAAAACTACTCAGAGTTCTAACTTACAGGGAAGTTACCTCATCTGAGTGAACATTAAACAACAGAGAGAACAACAGGGGTTATGTTACCAGATTGCACATGAGAATTCAAATGACAAAGAAGTCTCTCAAGCCTTCTTGAGGGTTCTACAGCCAGCTGTCCCTAGATTATCAAGGTGGAGGAAACTCACCGCATGAGAGTCGAGGTCAATAAAGCCATAGGTGTGGCCCATAGGGCCAGTTCTGTTCTTGATAATGCGGACATTGGCAGTAGTAAGGTGGACGTAGGGCTCCAGTACTTCCACTATCACCTCAGGTGGAGTGGAACGATAGATGCGTTTTAGCATGATTGCTGACAAACCAAGCATAAATGGGAGAGGAGCAAGGAAAGAGGTGAATTTTTGAAATCACAAGACCCTGACTGTCATTTTCTACTACAGATGACTGCAGATGCATTCTTTGGTAGCAAGGTTAGTTCTATAAAACGCTAGTCAAATATTTCACTTTCCTTTTCACATCACTAATACGTAGAAATCTAAAATCATGACTTGCTGAATTGTACAGCAACTTGCTATTTAGAGGATATAGATTCCTTCACCTAGTACAAGAAGGCCCACAGAAAGCAGTGGTCCATATAGTTAGGCTGAGCACCAATCTACTACAGTAGAGGGAACCGGCAGGTCTCTAGCTACAACAAAGACTATCTATGCTCCAAGTGGCACATGCCCTGACAAACCACTTACTTTTGCTCTCTCCATCCTGGCGTGTCTCGCCAGACCATGGCTCCTTCTCTCGGTCTCTTCGGAAGGCAAACCCTTCCCTTCGAGAAGGAGGCAAATACCTTTCTGTTTCTCTCTTTTGGTGCCCCAAGCGTGGTTCTTGTCCTTCTTCCCGCTTCTTGGATTCAAATTCCTTATCAACTGGTCTTGGGGGCTGGTTGGGCTGTTTTTCTGATAGTGCTGGTATAGATGTTTTCTGAAGTTGAGGGTAGCTTATTAATTCCTGCTTTACCTCTGTAACAGGGAAACAGAAATAAAGGCCCAACAGGCTTTATAAAACAAAACCAAACTCACTGCCATTGAGTCGATTCCTACTCACAACGACCCCCTTTGGGTTTGTGAGGCAGGAAATCTTTACAGAAATAGATTGCCCAGTCTTCCTTCTAAACAGGCTACTCACACTCACACACATACACACACACACAATTGCTGAGATTTCTCCTTAAAAAACAAAAAACCAAAACCCAAGCCTACTGCCATCAGGTTGATTCTGACTCGACAGTGATTGACTGGACAGATCAGAACTGCCCCATAAGGTTTCCCAGGCTATAAATCTTTATAGGCACTGACTGACTCATCTTTCTCCTACAGAGTGGCTGGTGGAGTCAAGCTTTTTGGATAGCAGCTGAATGCTTTAACCACTATGCCACCAGAGCTCCTTGAGACTTCTCCTTATCTGCTTACCAAATACTCATACTAAAGTTCTTTTGATATTGTATCAGGAATATAGGTACAAAAAGTTCCCCTGCGGGGGACCAGGTTTGCTGGTCTGAGAGAGCCTGTAGAACCATTGAGACTATGGTCCCTAACTGCCCTTCAGGTCTTGGAATTGAACCTATACCTGTGGCTTCCAGCCAAACAAAAGACAGGCATATGAGTTGAACATGTACCTGAGGTAGATATACTCCTTGGAGAGAACAATCATGGGAGAAAGAAGGGCTG